CTCTCTCTCTCTCTCTCTCTCTCTTCGCGGAGTCTCATATTTCTTCTGGGGATTATGCATGCGAAAAGTCGAGATCTTTCCATAATACAGTTGATGCTTAGAATTTAAAATGCATTTTACATCGTTACGCTTACCACATTCTCTTTCCTTCATTTCACCTCGTTTCTTGTCCTTCACCATTTTCCATCTCATCATGCCTATCTTCCTTCCAGTTATGCATGCGCAGTCCTATCTCATTCCACTTTCCAAGACTATGGCTCTCCTGCCCACTCGTTCAACAGACGACATATGTGTCTTTATGAACGGTATGTGGAGTAGACAAGTGCATTAAAACCTCGGGCGTTAGTTCAAGCTTCAAGAGGGAAGACTGGATAGCGGCAGGACGGATGGAGGAGTCAGGAGGATACACAAAAGAATGCAAAGTAAGAACCACGACTTCCAACCCCCTCCTCCGACAATCCACTTCGTATTCTCTTCTAGCCGCACCCTTCCTTCTTGTCTTCCTCCCTAGTCGTTTACCTGCATAACCGCGTTTCATGCACTTCTCTTCTTCTTCCTTTACTGTACCATTCCTTCTGTGCGCCGGAGGTTACAACGCATTATCATACAAGGCGACACTGCACCTCGTCTTCCCTTAATTGTTTCCCAGTCTCACCACATCGCGGGAGGGACGACCACCCCAGCGACACGTTCTTGCCGAGATCAACTTGCTGAAGTGTGAAAACGATGCCGGAGAGTGTTATCTCTTTTTGCGCGCGCGAGTTGAAAGCAGGGAGATGAGAAAGCGCGACAATTTACGAGTGGTCACCGGGGTGGTAGGGCGTTCGAATCCCTCTCTCCCATTCGCAGCGGAATCCTTCATGTTCTTGTAATGTTCGACATCAAAGACCGGGGACATTTCGCGCACCGATGGCTGCGAGAAGTTACGCGGATACGAAACCATGGAGAACAGGCCTGCGCTCTTATTGGTGTCTCCGGGCGGAAGATATCTTTTTTTTTCGTGGTTCGATGAATTCAGGACCACAGACATCACTGTATCAGCGCCCTTTGTTTTTTGGACACGCACGATTTCGCGATGTTATATACATCGTGGTTTTAACGGAACTCCGAGATCTGAAAGTAATATTGAAAAATGATCGATTTCAATTGTGAATTATATATATGTGGAAAAATGTTAATCGTTGTGCATGAACTTGTGTCGAAATAATTTATTCGATAATGGCACTTGCTATTCATTTCCTATAAAGATACTTCGAGATTATTATGAAATTATTACGGTCTGTGCGTTACGCTCATTTAATTAGACTAAATGCGGTTGAGCGGCTGCGTTCTATATTGGTTTAGAGAAATTTGAAATTAGTCGCATAAAGTTCGTCGTAATGAAGGGATAACGGCCCTTTGAACTTCGCGGTTGGTTTCGACATCTGTCTAAGATGAGCCTGTTCACCCCCAATTAACCCCGATGAGTGTAACATTTCTCAAACTCTCATTAAGGATCTGTTTGCCAGATATATGTAATGTATTGAATCGAAAATTCAATAATCGCGGTTGATTCCTGTCTAAGTTATTCGTAATTTCGCGATAATAATAATCCGAATTATATTGCATTGGATTATCTAACGTTACTAATTAAACACGGCATTAATTGTTGAGTAATGCATTGCATAAACTTTAGCGATTAATAAAATGAATCAGTTTACGAATTAATCCGGTAAATCGGTTGCGACATGTCCATTACACTGAATGTGAATTTCTAAATTGATACTATAAGAAGCTCTGCAACGAAAGACATCTCATTTGCTTAGCCGTGTCGCGTGATATGTAATGCCGTACTAAACTGCTGTAGCGCTAATTGTGTGCATTCCGACTAATCGCCCCTGATTTTACGCATCGCCGAACATCGGAGCCCTACGTCAAAGCAACTCTGAGTATACATTGGCATTGGGAATACATTTTATCAAAACCGATTGCGAATGATTTATTGGAAGAGATACAAATTTAATCTCTCGTAACGATTCGAGACACAATTAGCGTCATGTGCGTTATAAAAGAGGAAAAAGCAGCTTTTCGTTGTTTCTCGATGCGCACAATACGCAGAAATGTTACCATGAATAGATAGTTGGGGCGTTTACGTCATATCCCACATAAGTGGACATATAAGTACATCTAAGTGTACGAAGGCTTCTATCAATGTGATCGTTTCGTTGTCGGAAAGAGAGACGGGGATAGAGGCGTGCATTAAATAGTCGAGTATAGAGAATGACAATGATACATCGACTTGTTCTTCCGGAACGAACGTTTCTACGTCGTTTTGTGCGCGTCGCGACGAATGGGGCCGGATCTTCGGTGACTGGGTCCCCGCAACGCGGTTGGGCCCCGGTCGATTATTCACCTCAGCCAATCATGGCGTAGCAAGGATACAAAGAATCAGGCAGTAATTATTGGTAACCTGGTCTCCGCACGCGATTCGTCCGATAAATACAGCCAAGGGAACGGAGCATACTTCTTTCGAGGTGAAGCGTGTCTATTCGCTTACGCAAATTCCGCCATTGCGTACTCGATTAAAATAAAACTGTCGTATAATTATGATTAATGACAGCAAGATGCGCAATCTTGTGCGTGACGCGAAATATCAGGCTTCGCCTGTAATTCTGCCTCACGATTATCGAATGACACGTATTTCGCATAAAAAATAATTGTGACAAGAATAACCTCGCGCTTACATTTACGTTGCAATGAGCAGCCAGAGTTAAAGCGTGGGGAAGCTCTTCGTTCTATCGCGTTCTTGCTTATCGCGCTACAGCATTCTGCCAATCGGTATCCTCAATCAATCAAGATTCGGGGGAAAAAAAATAAAAAAATAAAGAATTACGTCGGAATCTGCACGCGATCGGTATAACAGATACACAATGCTAATAAAATACTTTTGATGGAACTAATGGCAGCTCGAAGATTACATTCACGGCCAGCATGTTCGTTTCGCGTAGGTATTTGAGCGCGTGATGAGCGGAAGGCAATGGTGAATTCCACGCGAAGGAGGGCGTGCGAGCATATTATGCGTTTATGCGGCCACACATACACAGGCATACGGATGATTACGTGATACGTTTGTGTATGTAGTGCGGGCTTATGAGTCGTCGCTAGACATATGAGGATGACTCCGATCGGTCCTTGATGCGCTATCTTTAAACGCCTTGCTGTCATGTTACGTTTGCAACATTCGTAGTGAAAAATTCCGCAAACTATATTCGATAAACTTCATAGATGCTTAAGAGAGATTCGACTTAGAACGTATTCAAAACGTGTTCTTTAAGAAGAATTTCTTCGAAGTTAAACTATTCTTCGAAAATCTGTGTTATTTTTTTTAAAGATAATTGATAAAATCTAATCGGTTTTAAAGTAGGAGTATTAAAAAAAATATTAGGAAGAATGCAGTAGGAATGCAATGGTTCTTGCGAGATACCGCTTTATCGTCCGGTGATATTTCCGGTTCCTGTCCCAAGAAGCGTGTTCTCGAAGATAATTCGTTATCGCGTCGCACGCCGGACTTTCTGCCCTTTCCACGAGCGAAAGAGAGAAGACGGCGGCATTGATGCCGTGCGGAGGTGGCGAAGAAGGACGGAGGGAAGGCAGGATAATTAAAGAGGAGAATAATCCTGAATCAACGTCATCGTGTGAGCGAAACGTATCCTCGTTGAGCGAGCCAAGCGGATGCACATTGTGCGCCGTTCTTTACGCCGTTCTTCTGTTGTCGTGCAA